AAACAGTTCATTTCCTAGTGCAACACGTACATCAGTCCATGTATAGGCATCTACTGCTTGACACTCTGCTTTTGATGTTGGATTRCTCAAGGCAAAGATGATAGGACGCTTGTTAAATGAAGCCATGTYCCTGCAGATCTCTTCTGTGAAGGCTCCAGGTACAGCAGCAACACCTATAAAACGTTAGATATTCCACGCAATCACRCCTTCAATTTTATCCTACTTTAGGCCAATCTCATTCAGGGCACAGGTAACTCTCACAGATCAAATAAACAACTTCTGGGCTGATCTAAGTCTAGACATGGCTAACTCCAAGGGCGGATCCAGCCAAAATCTTAGGGGGGCTAATTGAATTTAGGGGGGTTTAATTGAATTTAGGGGGGGGGGGCTAATTGAGTTTCTTCAGTCAACACAACGGAAAACAATAAAAAAAAGCATCTAAATCGTCAGATTTGTTTGTTGTTGTTTTTTAGCTGAAGGGGGGTTGTCAAAGGCCTATTATGACCACTCACCTATTATAGCAGTTGGCTTGACTTCCTTGATTACATCCGTCATGTTATCGATATATTTTGTTTGGTGGGCATACACCAGTTTGTGTGCATTCAAACCACCCACTGCGCGGTCCTGTAGCCAAAGAAAACAACCATAAAAGTTTTTCAATTTTTCATGACTATGAAAGTTGCACGGACTGGTAATGTCCGTCCGTCCGTCCGTCCGTCCGTCCGTCCGTCCGTCCATCCATTTATTCATTCATTAATCCCAAAACTGTTGAAACAGCCTCCTTAAAGATGGGAAAACGAATTCTTTCCTCAAAGATGGGAAAAAATAAATATTGTCTCTCCATCATCTTTCCATATTTTGCGTCCGTCCGTCCGTCCGTCCGTCCTTCCTTCCTTCCTTCCTTCCTTCCTTCCTTCCTTTTTCAAACTTCGAATAAAAAACTGAAAAGAATATGATAGTTATTTTAAAACAAGTATTTATTATTTATGTCTCAACAAACCTTAACTACGAGTCCCTTTGAGTCAACCAGCCAGATTTTCATTTTTGCTTCTTCTTCTGACAGCCCTTCTTTCTTCATCGCACGCACTAACAAGTTTGCAATGCCAATGGCAGCCTGTGCAAGATTTGATAGTGAAAAATTCCACAATGAACTCTGGRAACCTCAGAGCTCTTTGCATGATTTTCTTTGCTTAGAGAGTGTCTATGCAGATACTATGAGCACCAAGTTCATACTACCTCGCTCTCTCAGATTACGACTCTCCCTACAACATCCACTTAACATCTCCCTTAAGGCCCTGTTACACTGTGCAGTTTTCCAAGTAACTTGTCTCAAGGCCCGTTTACGATARCGATTTTTGCTGCGATTTTTTTGCGATTTTTTCCATAATAAATAATGGTAAAGAATTTACTTGTAAAGTTTGTTTCAGGATACCAAGATTTTSCTAGACGAATGTCTCTTTTGAAGGATGAGACAAAAGATTTCATGTTTCCAAAAATTGCCAAAAAATCGCAGCAAAAATCGCCGCAAAATTCGCCAGTGTAAATGGGGCTTCACAAGGCCGTCACAAGACAAGTCGCTGGAGAACTGCTCAGTGTAACAGGGGTTGTCTCCCAATAGACCTATCCTGAATTCGCTTGACTGACCACGAAACAATGGTTTGAAGTTGAGACTGGACTCGATTCTTTTATTCATCAAGTTCAACCTCGTCTTGAAACCATTGTTTCGTGATCAGTCAAGATCTATTGTTTTTGTTGTGCGTACTGTTGCACAAAGTACAACTCAGTTATACTTTTCGCAACAGATTGCAGCAACTGGCAACACCATTGCACAGTGTATCACCGCTCCAACAACTTTTTGTATGAATTTCAGGACACATTTTTCAAGAGTGCATAAGCACATTTCTCATTTCTTTCCAAGGAGCCACAAGATGTTTCAAGTTGCTGAGATCTCATTGCAGTATAACACCTAAGCTCTTCAACTTGCAACACTACATTTTCAAGCATTGCAAGACAAGTTGCGAGAAAATTGCACAGYGTAACAGGATCTTTAGCTTTAACTGTATATTTTTCTCTCGTCCTATGCTTACCTCACCAGCACCTTGAAAGACTATTTGCTGATCTGAAAGTTTTGTTTTGGTGATTTTTAGGGAGGCAAGGATTCCAGCAACAGCAACAGCTGCAGTTCCTTGAAACAAAATTTTAAAAAATTAATAGAGGGGATTTGTAGCAGCCATGTTGAAAGGAAGGAACAGTTGAGGCTGGTATCCTAAAAACAACCTCTGGGCTGATGTAAGTCAGGGCATAGCTAACTCACAGATTGAACCCTCAAAACCCGAAGCAATCTCTGCAGGGCTGATATAATTAAGTCAGGGCACTGCAAATTCACAGATCAACTAGACTTCTGTGAGTTGTATTTAGCAGAGGGAGGGAAAGATGCAGAACCCACAACACCTGGTCAAGATCCAAACACCTACTGTATAGAATAATATGTATTTTTTTACCTTGGATGTCATCATTAAAAGTGCAGATCTTGTTCCGATACTTCTCAAGTAATCTAAAAGCATTGTGGTT